AAGTTTTTAACATGTGGCGAGCTTCACCGTAGTTCCGAATGCCATAAAAAGGCATTAAAAGATTCTAGCTCCAAAAAATGTGACAACTGCAGTGGAAATCACACCGCAAACTTCAGAGACTGTCCTATTTATAAAGAACTAAAGCACAGGTTAACTCTGCAGAAAGAAACCTTGCATAATCCTACAAGAAGTAATCCCATCAAATTAGTTGAAGTACTACAACCTTTAACTTCTAAATCTCTTACACCAGGTGTTTCATATGCTAATGTCGTTAAATCTGACAAACAACAAGCCCCTCCAGTTCAAAGTAATAGTTTGGAAATGATGATCTACATTCTCACCCAGAGCTTAACTCAGTTTATATTTATCATGCAAACTACTCTTAACGAGATAGTTAAAATGCAAAGCCAATTAATGCAAATGTTTTTATCTAATATATGAGTACTTTGAAAATTTGTACATGGAATGCAAACGGCGTAAGCCAACATAAACTTGAACTTACAAACTTCATCACCCGAGAAAATGTGGAAGTAATGCTTTACTCAGAAACACATCTAATGAAAAAAATTATTTTCTATTCCTGATTATTTGTTCTATAAAACCAATTACCAAGATGGCAAAGCACATGGTGGTACAGGTATTTTAATACGAAGGCGTCTAAAACACAATTTTAACATTACTGAGATTCAATTTACGGATTACTTCTTAACTTTGGGTGACAGAATCCTTGCAGTAGGAGACTACAACGCCAAGCACACGTATTGGGGTTCACGGCTCTGTAATTCAAAAGGTAAACAGCTTTACAATTCAATTTTATACAGGAAAAATGCACTAGACGTAGTCTCTCCTGGGCAGTCAACATATTTGCCTGCCGATAACAATAAAATACCAGAGCTAATAGACTTCACCGTAACCAAAGGCATGTGCAGAAATTTTATCTTAAAATATACTAGCTGCGATTTGTCTTCTGACCATTCTCCAGTTACATTTTGTTTACTTGATGCTCATCAGTTAGGAGACTGTTTCTATAGCCTAACAAGTCCTAGAATATTTGCCTTCTACGTTCGATGTGTAACGGTATGAAGGGAGATACTTTGTAACGGCTGTAGAAGCTGAATATCCGTCTTCCATATGTTTTTTGACTGAGGGTTTGAACGATTACACGAAACGTTCTGCTAATCCATTTGACGATGGGTGAAATGGAGCTGTTGTAATATGCTTTATACCTTTATATGCTTTATACAGTTGTTTGACACAACTGCTTAAAAACATCTGCTGTAAATTTAGGTCAGTTGTCACTAACCAATAAGTTAGGATAACTTGCAATTGCAAAAATAGCTGCTAATGTTGTTATGGTGTTTGTTGATGTAGTGGAATGCATTTGAACAACAAACGGAAATTGTGAATAAGCGCCTACGCATATGAACCACATTGAGTCAAATATTGGACCGGCAAAATCAATATGAATTCTCTCCCACGGCCAAGTAGGTTTTGGCTAACTATGAAACTCTTTCACTGGATTGTTTATTTTACATATGCTGCAAGTTCTTGCTAGAAATATCATCATCAATACCAGGACAACAAACATGCTGTCTAACTAACTGTTTCATTTTGACTATACCCCAGTGACCCTCATGTAGAAGCTTTAGAATATGTTGCCTTAGTGTGCGAGGAAAGATAACTCGATTTATGTCTGTATTTAGACATAACTTATGATTATTTACATTCAATGCGAATCTACGATTAAAAAACGGTAATATTTTATTGTCTTCGGCACTTGTGAGTCGATCTGCGAAAGGTATTTGTCTGCTTTTGTAAAATTTCGGCGTAGCATTCGGCTTCAAAATTATATTTACTTTACAATTTTTTATTGCACCCTTAACCGGTTCAAACACTTCTTTATATTTAATACAAAGATTAGTTATTTGAAATTTAACATTTTCATTTACATTTAATAATTGTTGAATAGTAAAATGGAAAGTATCAAACAAGTCAAATCCGAAAAGATTATTTGCTTCCCCTATATTTACTACAATAATTACTACATTTGCTTCTTTGTTGCAACAGTGTGCAACTCTTCCAATATCGGAATTGGCTTTTTACCACATGCATGTAGAATTTTATTACACTTTGCCAGCTTTGGACTGTTCAACTGTTTATATATTTCTTTATTTATAACTGACACCAGAGTCCGTTTCAAAACTGATGTTTTTATTAAATATTTCTAGTTCAATCACATTTTAATTTCCTTGCGTTTTTGCAAGTCTTGTACTGTGCACTGTTTGAATTGTTTCACTATTTTTGTTTTTATTTTGATCATCACGTTTTCTATATTTATCTTTATTGTTGTTTTGCTTCGATGCACACACCACAGCTATGTGTCCCTTTTTTCCACACTTATGACAAATAGCATTGCGAAATTTGCATTTCTCTCCAGTGTGAGAATGACCGCAGCCTAAACACGATTTGAGAGCATTCTTGTTTGCTTTTGATATTCTCGTGCAATTTCCCGCAATTCTGCTACTCACTTTCTATGTGTTTGTGAGTGTCGCATTTCTCTTTTAAAAACTCATAACGAGTGGCGACAACATGACGCTTTGTTTGGAAATGTTCCGTTAATTTTTCAGTTAGCTGCACCGTCTGCACCTATCCATGAGAGGAAATACGCTTTTCGTTTTTCAACCGAGATCACGGAATCTGCCTCAAGATTTGCTCTAATTGCTGCAGATAAGACTTCCAATTTTGGTTGCCCTTATTGAAACTAGGAAACGGTAGACATGCAGCCACTTCACCCATATCGCTTAAATAAATGCTACTATTTACCTTTAAAATAGCATAAAATTTTCACTTATAATCCTCGTAGCCAGAATGTTGTCTCCACGAATAATAAAATGACCGATTTCAGCTAGAGCTACATTACGACTAACTTTATTAATATTTATAATAGAGGGAAGGAGTACCATACATATAAAATTTACACATGCATAACACTTTGTATTGTCGTTTCGCTGTCCACTAAGTTTGGAGTAAGTGTTTCTTGTAGAACATGTTCAACAAAGGGATGTATTATCTCTATGTTGGTCTTAACACATTTATTATCCTTGGTTTGAATCGGAACACTATGGTTCACTGAACGATTTAAAGCCTTAGCTGCTTTCCACAATGAGTAGTCGGTGCTAATCAGTCTAGTCTAATCTAAGAAAGCCGTTAAATGCTTCGTTTTTAAATGCCTTGGTTTTATCTTGCAGTTTTCTCGTAAATTGATTTAGTATTAGTTTATCCATCGGAATCATAGTCAATTGCTATAGTCGTCGAAGCTTGTGTTTTTTCCTAATCAAGATTTTGTTGTTATGATTATATGTTATGAGAAGTATACAAACACTTTGAAGAGTACACGCACTCTTGTGCCGATGATGCATTAGCACCGCCACTCGTTAACAAAAATACTTATGAATCGTTTCTGTGGCGTATGAGGAAAACATATATGGGTCATTCTTTTACAAACCGGTCACCTTTTTGACCTCATAATCTTCGATTTGTCTGAAATGTTTTTTATGAGCTCCCTTCATAAAATAAGAAGACACGTATCTCGGGAAAAAATTTTGTGATTTTTACTAGAAGATATGGGCTCATGGGGTTTTGGGAATTAGCAGGATCATTAGCAGATATCCTACTGAAAATATTTATTTTTTAAGTAGAATTTATATATTAATCTGAATCAAAAGTAAAAAAAAAAAATTTGAGTGACATAATTCTTTTTTTTTTTACTGAAAAATCTTATATATGTGTTTGGTCTGATATGAAGAATAAATAAATTTTTAAAAGTACTTCTAATTACAATATCGTCCTGGGTTTTGTGTAGAATTTTATTACTAATCGAAATCAAAAATATTATATAAGAATATATGTAGTATATTCATTGAAAATTCATTCAATGGAAATGTAGTCCGCATGTGTTTGATGTGTTTTGCGGGAGAAAAAAAATATTAAAAAATTTCAAAAAAAGATAATGTTTAACTGAATCTAAATAAAATATAAAAAATGGAATCCTTGGGGATGTATTTTAAGAAAAATTTTTTTTTGAAATTTAACAGTTAATATTAGTACTTAAATATTAACAATTTTCCATATATCCTAAAATAAAATCACATAATTTTTTCCCGAGATACCAGTCTTCTTATTTTATAAAAGGAGCTCATAAAAAAAATGTCAGCCAAATCGGAGATCTTGAGGTCATTTTTTGCCAAAATCCGTCCGTATACAGAATCACCCATATACACACTTTTTTTATTTGGTTTTTATGCAGATACTTTGAGTGTGAAAATAAGGACTCGTTGCAGTTCTTTTTTGAACATACTTAGATTCGGTGGGCACAATTAAAACGAAAAATCAAATTTAGTTGGTGTAGGGCTGTGTATAAAAAATTTCAAATATTACACAAAAAATTTCTCAATTTTAGAATCTTAATTTAATTCTTAA